TCTGTTAACCGTCGATCGCTTACTTTAATCTCCCCGACCAATAACCGGCTCCGTTACGCATCACGTGATCATAATGGTCTAGTTATTAATTCGAACGAGTGTTAATTACGATGATAGGTGGCAACGATCGACGGCTTTAGAAATATCGAAATTTACGACTCGTTAACGTTCGCATGTCGAGTGGAACCATAAAAACCTTTAGAGAAAGTAACACGGGAGCTAGGTTTTTAGTAAAAGGAGATATAAATCTGAATTTCCAAGCCTTTCCGGTTTTTAGGGCAGGATGCGAGCGACCACCTACGGTCCGGGAGTTGGCATTTTACGTTTTTAAAAATAAGAACGTGACAAAGAAATAGCGACCCACAAACCACAGTTTTGTCACTTATTAACAGTTTTGTAGGGAGGTTTTGCAATGTGCCACCGGTGCGAATGGTGGTTCCTTTGTGGCTGCGAAATAATCCGATCGGATCTCTGTAGGGTTTGCTGATATTATCAAGGAAATAATCATGATTTATTTATGAAGAATATCAGTCGGAGAAACAACGAGAAATAACCTGTTTGTCCAGCACAGCCCCAGGCAAAAGACAAGGTTAGAAACCCCGACGCTCCGCTTCGACGTTACACACCAACAACACAAGAAAAAAAAAAAAAAAAAAAACAATAAGGGGTAGACGCAAATCGCAACTGGAACAATTTTTTCAAAGAAAACAATGAGTCTGATGCGACGACCAGGTTATAATTAGTAACGAGAAAGTCGAGAAATAGGCCAAGGTGCGGCCGATCTTACGAGCATTTTTATTTGTCGTCCCGTCATCTAATCCCACAAAGGATGTCCAAAAATAATTTTTTCCAGAAAACACCTCCCTCCCGTCTTTCGCTTCTTCCTTTATTCGAAATCTTATTATTATTTTTTTCCCTTTCTTCACCCCGTGTAACGACGTGTTGCATTATAATCGTACAAATCGATTAATCGAGGACGGTAATAGTTTCGGGTCGTTTCTTCGAAAAACTTTTAAAAATGGTGACTCACGGTTCGTCCGACTCATTATCGGCCGGGTAGGGAAAGTGGGGAGAGGAGCTCGCACGTGCAAAGATATCTACACCTGCGCCGTATGACGTCATTCGAGGCGGAGAGCTACCCACGTGACCGGACGAGGCGGTCGACGACGGAAACGCGTTGCTGTTGTCAAGCGCTTCGATACTTTCCCCTTTTCGAAAACAAACACACGCGCGGTTTGACAGAAAAATGGCGTCAAATATCAGTCTTTTGATCGAATCCCCGTAAAATATTTAAATCTAGAAAATTTTCTCGGTGCGTCGAAAGGATAAAGCGTAGAAAGAGACCGCTTTCGAGCAATTTTTTTCAACAAAAGAGGGGGGTTTTGTTTTGACTTTTCCAGAAGAGTTTATATAGGAAAAGCAGAGTAAGGAGGGTGCGCTTGTATTATTAATTAGTTTTAAAAACTTCCGGAAGAGGATGTTAGTTCGGAATTCGCTGTATCGATTGGCCAAGATTTTCTAAATTCTCGATCGTGAGAAACGATCGTTCGTACGTCTGTCGGTAGGTAGAGTAAATATTTAAAGAAAAACGCGCGAGTAATTGTAATGTAAACGTTGGAACAGAAGTGGGTATGCGTCGGTGGCGAGTCGACTACGTAAATAGACCGTTTACGTTTGAAGTCGGGCTATTAAAAGCATTAAAAGTAGTCGGGTGGCGGAGGGGTTATTAATAAGTTCGGGGTTGGAAGTAGCCCGCAGACAGAACCACGCGATTACTATGATTTCTACCATTGTATGTAAAACTTCGATTGTCTTCCGATAGGGGCCAACCCTGGGAATTTTCGACTTCGCAGCCGCCAATTATACGATACTAATTTTTTTTGTCTCTTACCCCCCACGGGATTTCCTTTCTTTTTTTAGTTCCCTTTTTTGTCTCGGACGCAGAGAAACTCTTCCCTTCTTTTCATAAGTTTCCTGGAAAGTGGGCAAAGACCCGTTTTACGTCATTATTATTTATTTTCGTCCCTTCGATTTTTAGGAAATCCGGAGTTTTATTTCTTTAATTCATCCCTCCGCCTTCTACCAAACACCCGAAAACACATTTAATACTCCACTTTTTTTCAAGTTAATTGTATAGTAATTAATTTTAATAACATTTTAGTGTTTTCCCCTACCCTCCATAAAACTGGAGCATATATTTAAGGGCGTTCGAATTTAATGACGTCATTAATTCGTTCGAACGTAACCGAAACGTCATCGATATCGTTCGAGTCAAGTGATGTCGCTCAGTGCCATCGTTTCGAATTTTCTAAATTCCATTTACATGTTTACCGTTGTTAATTTTTTCTATTTTTGATCTCGAGACGATTTTAATCGATATTTTTTGAAAAATTACTTTATTAATTCGATTACGACTTTATTGGGATTAAGTGTCATTTTTGTTGTCGTCGGAGGTAGAATTTTCATCAATCAAGTTATTATGCCCTTTGGCCTTTTTCTTTGTTTTTTGGTCGTTTAAAATGGAATCGATATTCGTGACTCGAAACCACATTAACAGTCGTTTAGCTCTAGTTTTACGGTTTGCAATTGGTTTTCTTTTTTAGAAGTGTCCGATTTTTATTCGATTTAATTTATACTTCGATTGATCGTAATCGTGTTGCGTTTAACTGTACTTAACAATGCGTAATGCGGGGTGAGGAGTGAAGATACTTTAGAGTTGTCCAGGAAACAAATTTATTGAAAAGTTCGACGCAAAAATGATATCTGTATACAGAATTTGCCACTATTCCTTTAAGAATGAAGCATTTTACCGAAGATGCTGAGTTTCAGATTCGCAAGAAATTATTATTATTATTATTATTTTTTCTTTCTTTTTTTTGGAGATTTCCTTTATATTCCCCAGAAAAAAGCTGGAAAACGTGTTCAAAAAACTGTTCTCAACAGATATTTCGAATAAAATTACAAACGAAAATGTTGAATTAATAAAAGAAAAGAAGTAAATTAGAGTGGAGAAAATGGCGGACAATTCGAGTCTTATTAGCGAAACGACAAAAGCAAAGCATCGATTTAAAGAAGTGAATTTCGGGACTTAATTAATATTCAAAGGGTATAAACAACGTGACCGGTCGAAACGAAGCAATTAAAGTGGCGATTTTGTGGTCCGGATGCCGGATACTCGGAGCGAGACGTAACAAAACAAAAGAGTCTTTTCTTCTCGACCGAAACCATTTTGTGCGGTTTATTTAGATTCGAGAGAAAAGACATTCCCGACGTTCCATCCACTCGCGGGGACGCTGCAATCGTTACATACCACGCATACCACTTTCTGCTCGCTCGTCATACGACCGATTCGTGCACGTGCAAATACGCCAACCTCATTAATGGAACGGACCGGATCTCCGTAGGGATATAAAAATGATGTCGAATAATTGCTGCGGGCGGGAAATGCCGTTTTCTAAATAAGAGGAGAGACGTTTTCCGGCCGGGACTCGTGACGTCACGTGCCATATTTCGCACCACCCAAAATTTCGGATTCGGACGAAGGTTTTTTGGGCCATTGGATTTTGGGCTTGTCGCCGATCGCTTCGAATGCAAATCGCGATTAAAACGTTTAATAAGTCGAAGCGACGTTTTCTCGGATAATATCTCTCGAGACTGGCACCGACGCCATCTTGTTTTTTTCCTCTCTTCGAAAAATATCCAAAATTTGCGCCTAGAACTTTAGTCATCGATTAATTCGGTCGCCATTTAATCGAATTACACGTTACGTATCGAAAGTCGCGCTCCGCTGACACTAAACAGAATCATTCGCCATTCTTTTAACATCTACTTTTGTTTTTTACGCTTTGAATTACACACATAATACAGTTTTGTGCCGAAAAGACATAAAAGGATTAAAATATATCAAAAATTTCTCGAACCCTTCGCACTATAACAATAATCTCCTGTCTATTTAAGTTAGAAGATCTCTACTTCGACTTTCCTAAAATACGTTTTCGGATTCAATTTATCTCGATATAATGCACTCGGCCAATGGTAATGCCAATTAAAATTATAGTCCCATCATTCAGAATTTACAAGAAATGACGATTGCAAAGGGAGCAATGTAGATCTTACGCAATGTAGCCTAGTGTACAGTACGTCGAGAGCGTGAAGTTGACGACATACTACAAGATTAGGTGTACCTATTGTTATTATTTTCGCAAGAACAAGTTTTTAACAAATTTGTAAAGATTTTATTCTAAGATAAATTATGTAAATAAAGGTAAAATGTTCGATTAGAAAGGTTGCGTTCTATTTGCATCGTTCGTCGTTAAGTTGGTCGTTGTTTAATTGAACGATACCCGAAGAGGAGTAAGAGAATATCCAGTTCATAACTCGAGTCGCATTAATTATTGTTCGGAAACACGATTCTCTTCTATCCAGAGACCGCGGAAACCCGGAAAAACGTTCGACATTTTTTTTTGTTTTGAATATATCGACGGAATTAACATTAAACCGGCGTCTTCGTAATAAAGGATCGGTTGACGTCCGGAAATACAGAAAATCGCGTAGTTTTTAGCGTAAAAATTCATTATTTCGCATTGTTTTTTGATAGCATGCGACAACGTTATGGTAGAGTCGCGAACTATACGCCAAAGTTAGCGCTAAGATCTGTGAGCATCGTCGCTAGGGGTTAACTTTGGAAATACGGAACATGCTGGAAAAAGAGCCTATTTAGAGGGGACGAACGAGAGAGAAAGAGAAAGAGAGAGTGATAGTTTGGATGGGCGAGTAAAAAAGAAAAAAATGAAATAAAAATAAAAAAAAGTCAAACAATAGCGAGATACGGGCGAGGACCGGTTTAGAATGTCGGGACGTTAGAGGTCACGCACCGATACACCTGCGTTAGAAAGGCGTCGTAGCAGCGGGTCAGCCGTGGCGACACGGTGGACGGTGGCGAGAGTGGTGCGCGTACCCGCTCGGGAGGTGTCGACTCGACGCGAATATAATTATTTATCATGATATCTACGGATAGTGCGGTCGACGGATGCGATCTGGCCAATATGGAGCGCCTGTACTTCGCACGCGCTTACAAACTATCCTCACCCACAGGTAAGACGCCACGTTATTCCGAGCACAGAGATAGTAAGGGAGGGTTTTAAACTCGACAGCTGCCAGTATCGTTCGACAAGTGAGTTTCGGTCCCCCCACGGGTTCACAATACGTTGCCAGGTGCGAGGAGGGAAATAGCCGAAGGGGGACTCTTTCGGTTTTTTACGTCAGGAATGCATCCGGAGGGGAGACGGAAATAGTCGGAAAGTACTTTCGTAAAAAAATCTCCATTGGTAAACAAACGAAGTGGGAGCGTTTGCCGGGCGATTAATTTTTAATTAGGAGTCTCAACGACCGTTACAAAATCGAGATAATGCGGATAATTAATCGATAGTTTTAGCGTTATCGATCGTCGATCGGAAAGAATTTTCGATCCTTTTACGTAAGAAGAAGATCGAGTAAACATTCGTGCCGTTCAGTTTCGCGGAATCTCGTAAAATATGCAAACTTACGTCACGAATTAAATTTTCGTCGCGTGCAAATTCTCTTTTGTGCGCGAGCGTCCTCTTGTGGATCTTTTTAAAAAAGGGACCTCCAAATCCCATTTTGCATAAGTCCTACTCGGACCAGACGACACTTCTTACTATTTTCCGGATTGAATTTCTAAGTTGTTTTTATTCCTCGTAATTCGTTTAGGATAACATTGTTTATCGACGCGGGCGCGTGGAATATTCTCTAGTCCGAAAAAATAAATAAACGGTTTCCCCGGTGACGTCGAGTTTCGTCACTTCCCGCGCTGACGTCAGTTCCCGTCTGTCAGACAAACCGTTAACAGAGGGACGTTAATGGCCTCGGCGCGGGGAGGGAGAAGCAACTTTCGGGGTCTTCCGGCGCTAGGAAGGGATTCGAGAAGCGGTAACACAATACGTCCCGGCGACAGCTGTCCCGTATTCGACGGCCACGCGTTCAACAAGTTCCGCGGGGTCGAAGGTTAGCCATGCGGATTCCGGGGCCGAGGGCCGCGCCGCGTGGCGCGGCATGTATAGCGCTATCGGCGGGCGACCGAGGGTAGTAAGAGCCGGAGAAGGGAGTCCGATGGGTCCAGGGGATGTCGGCCCGTCCGAGAACGGTTCGGAAGATCGAGCAGGCCGAAAAAAAGGCGCGCGTACGGAACGGGGTGGATTTCTATCGGCCCCGACCACTTCCACCAATGGCGCGAGGCAACCGGGGGCACGCGCCAGGTAGCTAGCGGACGTGACGTGTAAGTTCTCCCCACCCATGCGCGGCGGGGATGCGCGACGGCTACCTACGTTGTAGAGATTCTTTGTGTCATAGTTTACATACCAAGAAGCAGACCGAGGGGGATATTCGCCGGAGAAAACCGTCCAAAATAGGGTCGAATCGGACCGAATATCGTGTCACGTTCTGAGGGTGAGTGAGTTTCGGTGTCGGCGCGACGTCGGAGGCGTTTGGACGTCGATCCTCCTCCGAAAAACGGCCGAGAATGGAAGCAATGCCGCCAGATATGCCTCGAATCGCGCGCATAGTTGGCGTGTTTCGGCACTCGCTTCCGCGCGGGACGCTTTCGGACGCGGGCCGTTTCCGGGCCGGAAGCGGGTCTCGGGGGCTAGTCGGGGGGCCCACTGGCGCCCCGTCGGGCCCTTCCTTTGGCCGGGCTCCGGCTCGACTCGGAGCTAACCTCGGGCCCGGCGGTCTCGGGGTCCGACCGCCGGACGGTCCCGGCCGGACCTCGCGCCCCGTCGTCCGGTACCGGCCGACGGCGCGTCGGCTGGCCACTCGCTTCCGATGACCAGGTGTCGCGCGCCGGCGTCGCTTAGCAACCGGCTGTTTACGTTTTCGATCGAACGCCACTTTTGCCTAGCGACGCCGGCCATCCGACCTCCCCCCGGCCGGAGTTCTTTGTTCGCGCATAGTTGCAATAGTTTGGGTCGTCGTCGCGTCCGCCATCTTGGACACTTGTTGTCGCGCTTCGGGCTTCGCGTTCGGGTCGTTTCTGTTGGCCGCGCCCGCTACCTTTCCGCCGATTCGCCATTTTCTTCGTCTCCTGGCTTATGGGGTGGCCTTTTCCGAGGGAGAGGGGCGTGCGTCGACCACGGGACGCTTCTCTAACGCCTCCCAGTCGCTAAATCGAGGAAGAGAGCAACATTTCGGGCGCCGGAAACTGGTTCCCTTCTGTCGACAGGGACGTTTGATCGTCGGCCGAGTAAATACGACCCCGAACTGAAAAAATCGGCCGCGGAACAGGAGAATGCATTCTATATAATAATTTTTTTTGGTCCCGAACCGGTACCTCGAAGAAAGAGCCTCGTCCCGCAGTCGAGCCACGCTAATTTCGGGTCTTGCCGAGTCAGCAACAGAAACGCTTTTTCTCTTCCCTCGTCGGATACAAAAATAATTTCCCGGCAACTTCGAACGTCGATCTTCACAATTAGCGTTTGGCGTTTTTAATTGTCGTCGACCTCTTTATCGATTCTCTCCCCCGCTAATTGTCGCCTCGATTGTTTACGTATCCGACGACGTTTCCGAGACTATTGATTACGTAAATGTTTCGTTTTTCGATTCCGCGCGACGGACGGAACGTGCCATTGGACGCTTTCGAAAATTTGAAAGTCGGACGTCCAATGGGGCGACTCGACACGAAATCACCCGGCCAACATCTGCCGGCTATCGGCTTTCGAAGTTAATACGAGACGCGAGACGTTTCCACGTTCGACGCGACCCGAGCGCGGCATCTGCCGGAGGTCGAACCATCCGAAAAGTATATATTTTTTTCTCCCCTTGCTCTTTTTTTTGTTTCGTGCAGTTCTAGAGTTACGCGCTTTAAACGAGCGCGTCGCAACGGCCAAAGTTTGGTCTCGAGTCGTGACGTATTCACCCCTTACAGCGCCAATGACCGTTTGCCAGTTCGGTTTACTTCTGTTCTCCGCATCGCGTCGCCCCTCGTTCTCCAGAAAGTGTTATTATTCGCCAAATAGACTGCGCCAAGTTCATGTATTCTTCGGTTTCTCCGTTTTTCCTTTCCGTGTCGGTCCTTCCTCCGCGAATAAGTTTGACACCGTCTCCTGTCAGCATCCAAAAATCTGTTTTCGGGACCGGAAAAGCCTATTTGGAGTCGCGCGATCCGAAGCCAACTCATTCGATTGACAAAAAAAGAACAGACGGCATCCATTTTGGTATAGGGTTAGTAGGTTGGCGCGATGGAGGAACGACTGGTCTGGTCCCCAAGTAACAGAATTCTGGGGGGACCGGCGGGACGTTGCCTGCCCTCCACTTCCGGCAGGAGCGCCCGAAACCGAACTGGGTGCGATTTACACTTTTTTTTTTGTGTCGGCTTCGAGCGGGAGGAGGGAAAAAACGTAACGAAAGCCAATTTCTAAGAAATCGCCCGCGGATTCGATACCACGAAACGTCTGTGTAGTCATAGCAACCGGTGGCTTAGGGGGTGTTCATCGGTTCCGACGGAAACTCCGACTCGTAAACACCGTTCGTAGCGTTCCTACGACAATTATTATCGTTTCGTGGGCTGTAGTTTAGTTAACGAAAGTGGACGCAATTAACCGTTATTTTACGCTCGATCGAGGAAGTAGGTCAGTGACGGGACTTAACGAAACAGACGAAGTTCGACCCTCCATATTTATAGTACGTCGTCTTAGTAACGCGGTCGCGCTTTTTTCTTTCTTTCTTTCTCGTCTTCTCCCTCCTCTCTTCGCACTATAAATATTACAGTCTCGACCTTAGTCGCTGTTGCCAAATCTAACGCCGCGTGCGAACCTCCATTTTGTTAATCTAGGTGGTTTGGAGCCCCGAAGGCCTTTCCCAAGAGCGTCGCCATTGGTCGACGCGACGGGGAGGAAAAAGAAACGCGTTCCGAAAATTGCCTGTGGCTCAATCCACTTGTATTGTTTCGCAGCGTTTTTTTCCTTTTTTGACGTCGGAAAGTCGCATTGGAATCGGACTTGGATGCGGGAATCGCGACTCGGCCCGATAAACATCAGCCATTAACCGGGTGACGTCATCGGCCGTTCGTGTACCTGGATGACGTAACCGGAACGGGCGGTGCTACGGACCGGGTCGCGCCGCGAGCTCGAAACGGCACGACGTCATCGCCACCTGTCGTAACGGTAAACGCCCGATTCGCCGAGTTTGAGCCCCTCCGCGACCTTCGACCCGGTGGGTGTTCCTTTGGACCACGATTTCCGCGGTCTTTTACCTTCCAATGTCGTCGTCCGTTTTTTTCCACTATTTAAACAATAACACTGGAGCGGTGACGTCGGACACGAGGTTTCCGCGAAACGGCGTCGGTTTAGAACCACGTGATCGTTTACCGAACCAAAAATAAACGCCCATTTTGATTGCTTCGCCGGCTATTTATAGTGACGCGCGCTGCCGATTGCGCCAATTAAGCCAAACTTCTCGTCGAAAAATGAACCCGTTCCGTCCGAAGATACAGACAAAAAAACTTCGCGACTCCCCCGCGATTTAAAAAAAAGGCGGCGGCCGAATTATACGCCCGGGCGGAGGGACGGGAGCAGTTTTTTGCGTCGTGACGTCACCGCCGTTGGTCAAAGGGGGACGAAGTTAGAAAGTAGTCTCGGAAAGTCGGGCCAGATCCGGGTAGTAAGGCGACCCTCTCCGATGACTGTCGTGACGTCAGCGGGATAGCTTGTTTTTTTCGGAGGTCGAGCTCCCGAGAGGGGGCAATGGTCACCCGAACGGGTGCGTTTCGCCCACGCGGCTTCTTCCTATCTCGCTGAAGAAGAGTTAACTTAAAGAAAGTAGTGGGAGGCGAAGACTTTTCTGGGAGGGAAAGACGGCGACGTCGGGTTCGTCTTGTCGATTTGTTTGCTCGGAAGATCGGACAGAAATAACGTCTTTGGTTCGATTTCCGTTCGTTTGTTCCCCTCGTAGACTTCCGGTTTTGCTCTTTTGTCCGCCCTTCTCGTTCTTACCCTCCCGTTTCCGGCCGGGACTTTCACTCGATCCTCTTTTAAATCGGGTTTGTAACCGGTTGTCGGAATGAACGAAGGAGCCACTACTACGAAGACGACGACCATTCGACCCCCCTATTATTATTATTATTATTGTCCCGAAGCCGGACGAAGGACGGCGACATTAGGAAAGAGGAGGTGGGCGAGATGGTCACCTCTCGACGAGTGGAAAGTTCGTCTTTGAACTTCGAACTGCGACCGTCGACCCACCGCCACGTAGTTTACCAGGAAAATTTGTCGAAAATTATCGTCACAAAGCGATTGTGTTTTAGTGTATCGTTACGTGTTTTGTAAACGGACGAGGTTTATTTGTAAACACGTATCGGTTTCGTCCCTGTTTTCGTAACAATAAACGAAGCTCGGATATAACAGAGACGAGTCTCGATTATTCGGCGGTTTTTAGGTATTGGAAGAGTTTCGAGAGGAACGACGTATCGAGCAAGATGCCCGGATTGGTTTCGAGCGAACGAAACGGACGAAAGTCGAAACAGAAAAATAATTGTTTTTAGACGAATTCGAAAAATCACGTTTAAGAAGAAAATCGTCGGGTGACGACGATAAAACCGGATCCAGATAGGCCTATTGATAAAACTCGGATTCATTGAGTCGGTACCACATCCTTCTACTTTAAGCAACTCAGCGTGACGTAATCGTATTTTTGTTTGTTGTTTTGTTTCGATACCGATAAAAAGAAAGAAAAAAAACCAGTCGGAAAAATATCCCTAGGCTAAAATCCGACCTGTCAATTTTAAGAATGCTCCAGAAATTAGAACAAAGAAGTTTGTCGATGCGAAATGTAATAGCGCATTATTTGTTATTTCCAGGTGCCATTCTCGATCAAATCGGATAACGGCCCGAACGAATGAGCACTCTGTCAGTTTTCAAACTGTGCTTAATCGAAGACTAAACATCGCATCGAACGGGGGCAACTTCGCTCGTATCTTAAGCCATTCGAATGGGAATTTCGGTTCCAATTTCGGGAATTTGGAAGGTTACGTCAAACAATGGGAACTGTCGATGTCGTAACCTAGTTTATCGTTTCGGATCCGTCGAATTTCTTGCGAGATCTTCGAATATTTTCAGTTGCTCAACTCCCAAAAACTACGAGGTATTGAGGGGGAAAGGTTTCGAAATTCGGGGATAGTCCCGTTTGTTTTTTTGCCACCGAGTCGGGCAGTAACTTTTGTATTTCGTATTACCCGGGGGATCGAATCCGGTAGATCGCGTCGTCCGCGCCGGTCGCCGCCCGATACGATAATTTCTCTACGGACGACAGGTGGGGCGCGATAAAATTACGGTCGACGACTGTATAATTTCGGCGGAGACAAGTTTATAAATTCGGGTCGCCGGTCACGCTCGGCTACCCCAATCACGTGATCACGCGCGGCTAAATATCCCTCTTTCGGCCGACTAATCCCCAGCTTCGCCGTTAACGACGACGCGCGCTTCCATTGTTTTGTCAGTCGTCTTCGGTCCCCCTAATGGTCGATTCTGTGGCACTTCCTCCCCCGGAGGAGGTGGTTATTATCTCGACATATAATTAATAACACAATGGGTTGGGTAAAACAATGGCGGAGATTTTTTTCGGGTCGGTCGTCAAAAAAATTCGTTTCCGAAACGGGATCGGGAGGGTGGACCAAGACGGTTATCAATCCGTTAGACGTTTTATATCGGTCGGAGATGACGCGTTCTTCCCTCGTTTCCTCCGGATAACGACTAAATTAGTCTATTCGATAAAAAAACTTAACCGCCATTTCCCGTGTGTGTTCCGTCGTCGGTTTCTAGGTTATCGTTACCGCGTTACGTTCGGTAATGCCGAGAATCTCGCGCCACTTTAGCCAGATTGAACCTTTCCTTCGTCTACTTCCACTTATTTTAATGGCAAACTCGAATTTTACAGTCCTTGCCATTCTTACACTCTATGAACTGGCGCGGTTCGACTTGGTGTTAACCGGGTGACCGTGGGGGTGGACGTCCTTCCGTACTTTACTCCGCGACGGCGCGCGTGTGGCTAAGGCAAATTTCCGATGTTTTTTTTTTTGGAAAATTTTAGGCACGTTACGTTAGACCAAACAGGAATGTTTGATGGTTACTAAACACGATTTGGCGATTGCGGAAATGTTGGAAGGTTTGGCGCCACGGGGAGCGAGAAAATTAGCGAACGTTTCAAATTTAACAAAGGTGTGAAATGGAGCGACCTCTGTAGGAGGAAAGGTAACTCGATTGTAGAATATAAAAATGGACCAACAAAGAAATCCGTCATTGTTTAAATTATTCGAGACTTTTAGATCTTCATAGGATAAATCCTAAGAGACTTGAAATGTGTCGGGCGGTTTTTCTTCTAAAACCGTTGAAATGTTTCGAATAAGAAGTGACACGAAGAAAAATAGAAAAAACTTATTTCTAACCCTTTATCTTTTCCGGAAACATTCTATAAAAACCTCACTCGCACTTTTTGGGATCTTCGTTAATAAAAGCTTTAGATAGGTGGAAGGGCGGAACGCGGTCAGTTCACCTTCTATAACAATGTGTATCAATGGTCTCTTTCTAGTAAAATAGAAACCGAGATCGGATATTTTCTCGACTTTAGGTAAATTAGGAAACCAAGAATTCGTGTTAAAAATGGATTAGTCGTCTTATTTCCGTTGGATTTAAGACATTATTTCGATACCGAAGTTCCCAATTCCTCGACTTTACACTCGACGATTCTCTCCCGAACACGTAGGAAGTGTAGTAAAGATGGCCTAAATGTTTCAGTCCGCAAGTTTACGTTCCTCGACAAACTTTAACGTCAAAGAATTTTGTCGACGGGACTGGCAAATATTCGCGTGTGGAAAACGCGCTGGTGGACGTCCAGCCTGGATGGCTCCGAACTTTCTGGTCGGGGATGTGGAAAGATGTCCGAAGCGTTCGGGATGGGACACAATTGGGATTTTCGAGTTGGGGGAAAGTCCGAGTTGTAGGTCGGGAGTCTTAAGACGTCCTTTGTCTTTCAGTGTGCGCTGTTCCCTTCTCGGCCGCCAAAATTTCGTCTCCGTGGAACTCCGCTCCGCCCCCGACGGGCCCCGCCGCGGGTGGTGCCGCCGTGCCGCCCCCACCCGAAGCCAACGGCTCGGAGGACAGCAACAGCAAAGACAGCACGGGCAAGGTGGACGTGTCCAACAATGACGCCGAAGGAGTTTGGAGTCCCGACATCGAACAGAGCTTTCAGGAGGCGCTGGCCATCTACCCGCCTTGCGGCAGGAGGAAGATCATCCTGTCCGACGAGGGAAAGATGTACGGTGAGTGACCCCCGTTTCTCTACTTTCTCTTTCAACCGAACGGACCATTCTCCTTTTCGGGAACTAAGACGCGGGCTTCTTACCGTGTCCAGAAGTTTAGGCCTACGTCGCTCCCTATCGGGACACACACCCACTCGACCGTCTCGCGTGATTCTCGTCGTCCCTCCGTAAATAAGTCAGAAAGAGGTTAAAGGTCGATATGGACGACAACGTCGGTCGATGGGAAACGTCCTTACGAGTGGTGACCGAATCCCAAAGCTGGTTTCGAGCACCGATTATTCTCTTATGACTAGACAAACGTAGAGTAACCCATTCCGATTATCTTTCTTTCACTACTTATTCTGTTTTCCAATTTTCTCCCATGTTTTTTGTATAGCCAAAATTCTTTTCTACGATATTACCGAAATGTTAATGTGGTGTATTATCCTTGTCGTTCAGTGCCGTAACTAACAGTTCGTTAACTAAATATTTTTGTTATAAAAATGACGTCACTACAAAACTTTCGTTCGTAAGTAAAAAAATTTCGTGGAAACATTCTCATATTGCCCGCATTGCCAGTAAGTAATGCATAATCTGCGGTGTGCCTAACGTACTTTCTCAGTTGCGTAGGCCTACTCGAATGACGTCGAGCACATGTACAGTACTGTACAGTACAAACAAGATCCTATCGCATTATATGAGCCCGTGTTCTTTATTTATTTTTTAGCAGTTTTATCATAAGGTAGCGTAGATTTGGGCTTGACTAACGATCGAATGGTGACTTTTAGAGATCAGAAAGCGGTGCTCGTTGCCCGCTTCTCTACGCGTAGATTTCTTCGGCGACACTTGCAACATAGGAACTTTTCTGTTCAATGCCCGGTATTTCTCGGAATTCAGACCGTCCCGTTTGACCTCCGAAATATAGAGAAAATGGAGTAGACATGGGTACGTCGAGTTCTCTAGACATCTGGCACCGTGGATCCAGCAACATAGGCTTTCGAAGTGTCGGACATGACAATTTTCGGGGAGAGCGATAGTTGCCGGAGATTAGAGATGATCTTCAGCGATTGGCTTCGGCAGATTAAACAGATAAAGCCCTAATCGATGATAATTTGGCAAGAAGAAAATCGAAGGGAAGCGCTAACAATTCGATACTGGCGCGATTTTTGAGCAGATATCGGCGTTTGTTTGTCGAGAGGATCGTTTTACCGCGAAAATATGGTTGTGAGAGTAAACGGATTGGTGGAAAGGACCAAATCCGTTTATCGGTTCTGGAAATTACGTCACACAATAGTCAGGAATATAGAGTTCCGGTCACGAGTACCGGCGAAATTCGTGTTTCGATAATAGGTCTACTTTATCGCTCGGAAAGATATATTTTCCGTATTACGTTCTTAAACGTAATCGAAAGGCAAATTTCCCGATATCGGAATCGCATTATCCGATACCTTAATGGCGGACGTTTCTTCGTCCGGGCGATTAATTCCTGTAGGAAATAAGATGGGCGAAAATTATTCGTCGATTCGTTATCCGACTTTTACAAGGAAAGATGCGATTGGTGCGAGAGACGGATGGAAATAGACGCGGTTCCTCCATCAGTTCCGTCAGAGAGTGACGTGTGAGAGAGGAGTATTACCCGTTATGGAAAACAGTCGACGCGTTTCGCACGGTTTGCTTCCCTCCCCGGCCGATCCGTTTCGAACCATGCGGAAGATTGGTTTTTAAGCGAGCGAAACGGAGACGTCGAGTATACTGTTATAATTTGGCGCGTACGCGACGATGCGCTGTTAATGGCTCCGGCTGCGCGCAGCTCGTTAAAACGTTTTGGATATAGTAGAAAGAAAGGTTAATCTTGTAAATGCGCGTAGCCTTGGCCGGACGGACCGGTAAGAGGGGAGGGGTGGCGAGAGAGAACCAGTCCCAGTCGAAGTGAATGAGATAAGATGCTGTTTCCTGTGTACCCGGAGGACCAGTTTGGCCCTGACCCGCCACAAAAGAGGGGGGCCCGTCCCACACGCGCACGCACAAGACCCACCTGTCGCTACGTTTCCTGTCGTCCGACGTCTGCTAAAATTTAATCGTTTCGCGAATTACGCGTTGACAACGGCGTTGTTACGAAGGAGGATCTTTTATTTTCGGATAGGCTTTCGAGAGGTTTATCGACGGCGATAAACCTTAGGAAGACGTTAAATTTATATTCGGCCGGAGTTTAATTAAAAAGAGCGTTTAATATCAATTAAAGAGGACGGTTTTGTGTCGAGTCGAACGGAGGAGGAGGGAAAAAAGCGATAGAGAAAGGAAGAAAAAAGTCGGTGGACGTGTAGGCGAGGGAAATAAACGGCTATAAATGGCCGGGCGGAGTGCGCAGGCGCGCAAAGTTGCCGAGAAACTCCGGCGGACCCCTCGAAGTAATGAAATAGATAGCAAATTCCAGAGATTCCATTCTGCAGCGTTGTCTGCTTTCGTGCTCGGCCTGGTATGAAACGTTAGGAGACGTTCGATCGCAATGAGCGAGACAGCTGGCTGGCTCACGTATACCCGTTGCTTTATATATTCCGGCCATAATTGAACATTCCTGACATAGTTTTGTCGTTCTGTGTGCAGCTCCTTTGTGTCCGTGAGGCCGTATGGCCAAAAGTCTAGGGATGGCGGTCGATTTGGTGATAACAATCACTTTTAGGTTTCTTTCCCGCCCGGTGTGGCTGGGAATTTGACTGCGGTACGGTCGAAATGGGAAGAGAGAGCACTTTTTCTTTATGTCTTTGCGTCGCCTTTCGCTATTTTTGTTTTCTTTCCTCTCGCCAGTTTTTTACTCTTCTCTTTAAATTTTTGGAGAGATTCCGATTCTCGGAACATCCGTCTGGAGAGGAAATTTGCTCTCCTTGCCGGCCGGGTTGTTTACTCGACGGAGTGTGCGGCCCGGAGTTTTCTTTTGATTTGGGAGGAACTGGCGAATGCCTCCGTGTCCGACCTATTCGGGCGTAATCTTACGTGGTTGGAGGAAATAAATTGATAAATATTTGCCTTCTCCTCTTTCTCCTTTTCTCCTTGGCCTGCTCCCTCTGTTCCTTCTGAAGAACTCTCTGGCATCCCGGTTTCTCTAGACTCTTTGTTTCTCTTCAAATTTGGTTCCATTGGGAGAGTTGACTGCTAACTGCACCATTGCCTATGATGTTTCCTGCATTTCCTTCTTAGATTTCTGTTAGCTGTCCAATTGGGCTCTGTAGCTGCTGTGGCCCTTTTACTTTCTGCTAGACTAGCATGCTACAAGCTACTTGGAAAAAATTGTATCCAGCTTTCTTCCCCTCCTCCTTCTCTACTTGCAGGCCTAATATACTTGTCAAAAAGACCATTGTGAAAACCATATTAAAAGACAGTCTTCCCAAATTTGGTCTTTTCCTGAGTGTCCGCATTGTGTTGGGACGTGTCGAGATTGATGTGGCCCGAGTCGCTGTTGGAAAGATGGATGTCCTAGGATGACGTCGTCTATATTGGAATTTTGCCTGGTCGGACAGCGAGTCGAGTCCTCTCCGAATTGACTTCTTGACTCTCTCCCTTAATTTAGATAAACAAAGTGAATGAATTTAATAAATAATGTCCACAATTTCCTTTGTGAACTATTTAAATTTGTTTTTTATAATTTGTTACTCCAAGTTGAAACAAATGAATAAAATATAACAAATGCTAGGAGGAAAAGATGCTCTGGAGTGTGATGTACCGTGTATAATATAATTAAGCTAATGATGCATGATGAGCAGTGAGTAATTGTCAGAAACATAAAGTAACAAAATCTGTAGGATCGGTTCTTAATATGTTGTTACTAAAATCTCACCTATCCATAATATCTGTTAAGTGCATTTTTTTTTCTAATGTACTATTAAATATTTTAAATAATTGATTTTAATTTAAAAAACATTTTATATTGACTAATTTTGTGTAATTTGTAGGTCGTAACGAGTTGATAGCACGGTACATAAAGCTGAGAACGGGCAAAACACGGACTCGGAAGCAAGTGTCTAGTCACATTCAGGTCCTTGCCCGTCGAAAATCTAGAGAGATACAAGCCAAATTAAAGGCAAGTGAAACTAAAGTAAATAAATTTATAAATTTTAAATTATGACAATATTTTTTAAAAAATTATAAATTTTTAGATAACGTATTATAGAGATAAATTATTTTTGTATGTGGGAATAGTCAGATGTTCTTCTAAACCCATATTACTGTGCATGCTACAAGTTGTCGTATGTGAGTAGCTTTAGTGTTATGTGGCTGAAATAACCATGACGTCTCTCTTCCTCTTTACATATTTGATTGAAATTAAATTTTTGAAAGCTTTGGATTTTTATTTTAACAAAAAAAACATACCATTGCCTCTTGATTATAATTTGTCTTAACGTTTTATTTAGTATCATTTAACATATCAGAATGAAGCTCTGCAAGTTAGCATGATCTGTTTTCCTTAACTAATCGATATTAATATTGTAATAAATTCATTGCTGTCATAGCTGTTATGTTAGCTAAGATTTCCTTTTAACTAATGACTACATTGAAAATGTAATCTTAAAATTCTAATATTAACAAAACGCCAAGGCAACTGTACACGTTAGCATCTAGACTTTTCTTTATTAGGTGTACAGTGTACATTTCCACATTTCTTTTTCCTGTTGTTTACTTTTAAAAGAATACAATCAAAAGGATGCATGAAGATGACATTCATATAATATGCAAAACTGGTGGCAATACCAGCTCCCCAATCAGAGACGCGCTGCCATCAATAGGTCCCGATCCTCTTTTTTTCCCTGGCAGGACCAGGCAGCGAAGGAGGCAGCTCTCCAGTCCATGTCCTCCATGTCGTCCGCTCAGATCGTCTCTTTGTTTTGCTCCCAGGACCAAGCAGCGAAGGAGAAGGCACTGCACTCCCTCACGTCCCTGACGTCCGCTCAGATAGTTTCGGCATCTACCATACAGAACAAAGCTGCTACAGCAGGACTGGCAACTTTAGTTCCCCCTGTCAGCTATCCTGGGGGACCGGTACGATTTTCTTTAATCAATCCACAATAAAATCTATTTATAATCATTAAAATTGTTTGCTCTATATCAAAAATAGTACAATTTTCAAAAATCAAATGTATGATTGGTCACACAGTTTTCAAAATTTCAAATCTAATTTTCATTACTGAAATCAAATTGACTATAAATATATAATTGTTGAAAAATTGATAAACATATTTCAAACATCACTGTGATTGCATAAATCACAATTGAAAATTGTCTTTATAACTTTTAATCATCATAGTTTTTTGTTTTGATAAAATTTAAATTAAAATGATTTGATAGAATAACTGCATTTGTAAAATATAGACTTTACCATTACAGTTATTACAATGTATCTTTCATCAAAATTAAGTTTCTGTCTAAAGGAGATAGTAAATTTTCAGAACTTCTTTTGATTAAATTTATTAAAACGTTTGATGATCAAGATTTATCTGAGAAACTTCAAAAACGAAACAATAAACTGCAAAGAAATTTCAAAAATTTAACTTCTTTCTAAAAATATCAAATTATCATATTAAGTTCAATCCATTAATAGTAATAATTTCATTTAATCCAAATAAAATATCAANTTTAGAAAATAATTTAAAAAACTGTGTTAAAAATTTAAAAAAAATAATTAGATTTTTTTTAAACTTTGTAGTTTTATGTGCATTCTTTGAAATTATAACTTTGAACATTTTATATTTATTCAGTATTAAGCCGTTTGCTGGTCAACCATATGCCATTCCACCGAAACCTCCCGTCACTGCCTCCATGACTGGTGTTGATCTCCTCAATCATCCTCCTTCTCAGACTTGGGACAATAAATCCATTGCGACGCAAAAACTCCGTCTCGTAGAATTTTCCGCTTTTATGGAACAGCAGAGGGATCCAGACAATGTACAAGTTGTTTGATCCTCTAAATATTTATTTTATTATTTGTAATAAAAATTACTCATTTTTTTTTTACAGTATCATAAACATCTGTTTGTCCACATAGGAGGTTTATCTGTTTTTACAGACCCACCCTTGGAAGTAAGTTCATTTAATTTCAGCTTAAAATTATTTTATTCTTAACTTTTATGTATTTTATTTTTATTTTCATTCTTAGGCAGTAGACATTAGGCAAATTTATGATAAGTTTCCTGAAAAGAAAGGTGGGCTTAAAGAATTGTATGATAAAGGACCACAAAATGCCTTCTTTTTGGTGAAATTTTGGGTAGATTTTTTATTTTGTTTTTTTTGAAATTTATTCTTTTTATCTTTTAATAAATTATTATTGATTTTAATTCAACCTACATCTTTTCAGGCTGACCTAAACACAAACATTCAAGATGAAACAGGTGCATTTTACGGCGTCACGAGCCAGTAAGTTATTAATAATTAGACATTATAGATTTTATTTTGATTTTATAGACTGTCATAGTTTTAAATATTTAAAATGATATGAAAGCACAATAAAATTCTTAACAATTATTCAAATTCTTATAAACTAGTTAACACATTTGATAACTTCAATTTGTAATTCTGTAATCAGAAATGTAACAAAATACACAAGCCTTAGAATATTTAAAAATCATTTTTATTAATAAAAAATGTTATTATTATTATTAAAGGATTTATTAAGACACTTTTAAAAACTAAAACTATTTCATAATTTTACCAATAAATCCAAATAAATGAATAACAGATGTATTTTGTAAGAAGCATGTGATTAAATATAAATAATAAGATCATCATTATATTTTCCATTATAATATTTTTATAATGATAAATATACCACATCTTTTACAAACAAATTTTCTACATAAAATGTGTTATTTGCACATAAAAAAATGAGATAAAATAAAACTCTGTTTAATGTAAAGTAACTAAAGTAAAATTATAATTTTCCAATGCAGTTATTAAAAAATAAGTATATTGTTAGTGGATTTTACAGAATATTATAATTTTGCTTATCTAAAATGGAAATTATTCAATTATCTCATTGATAATATCAATCATTAAATTGAAATCAGATTAGTAATTGAGAGAATTTTAGGAATAATTTTTAAGGATAGAACAAAAATAAAATTTCTAAAACTTTAACATTTAATGAAGATTTGAGCTATATAAAACTAATGTATACAATTTATTTTAAATCCTATTAAGTAAATTTGTATCAAATTCATTCTATTCAAATTTCAACAGTTCATGCTTATAAATGATTATAATGTGACAAGATGAATAGATTTTTACCATCAAAGTAATTAAGGATTGTATTTTCAAATTTATTAAATATTTTATTATAGCATATTGAATTTGATACTATAATTTGTGAAAAGCAATGCACTCTTTACTAATAAAATCTATTAGCTATATTTAAAAGATCTAAACAAATAAATAGCATTTTACACCATTTTTTTTTTTAATTTGAGTTTATCACTTATCACAAGATTTATGTACAACAAAATATATAAATTACAGATGCTTAGAAAGAAATCTGAGAAAAAATGAAGAAATTGTAGATATATCAGTAGTTTCAATGTAATTTATACTAGAAGCAAATCTTTAATGAGTAAAATATATTTTTAACAAGGATTATAAATTTGATTACAAATTAAGCAAATAACAACAGTTTTTAATAGTAATAACCAAGAAACAAAATAATTAATAGTAACTTTTTCTAATTATGAAAAATGTGGAATATATTTTATTCTGTTAAGGTTAATTTTTATGGATCTTCATCCTGTTGTCATCTGTTATATCTAAGTTAATGTAAAATATATCAATAATTGCAGCAGATATTAATGAATGTAGAAAATTGTGAATTTTCAGAGAGCTTCCAAAATATCTTTCATGATTATAAGAGATTATTCTCATATGTTCATATAAAAATATGTTTCTAATAATAATAATGCAAGTAATACAATATTATACTTGGTGAGATATTTATTGACTATATTTAAAACATAAGAATTGTATATGAAAATGCATTATAAACTGTTATTAGGTTTGTGCAATGAGGATTTTTTCCTTTGTATTTTTTAAATAAAAATATTGAGAGTCACAGATTATGAACAGATTCATTGCTACAATATAAAGACTGAACATTTGAATGCACTAGATAAACAAATTCTTTAATGAAAATGTTTGATTCAATTTAAGTATTGCTAACAGAAACTATTATAATACTCTGAGGACTAAACATTTCAGAATTGATGCTCTGTATCAGTTCTGTAACATTTTGTCACTAAATCATCTATTTATATAAAATTAAATCTATACATTAAGCACAAATTACTTTAAAATATTTGTCATTTGTGGCAATGCCTTTATTCCAATATGATACAGTTTGTTGGAATATTTTTGAAACAGCTCTTGTTTAACATAATGTTTCCCTAATAGTCTTCCTTGTTTCATTTTTATTTTTAAAATGGTTTCACCACAATTTTTACTTTTTATAATAAGAAAATGAGGATATTATACAGGGAGTGACAGAGCAGATACAAGGTCCTAGGTAAAACGACCATGCTGTAGTTTGTTAACACCTCTTCTAATGTAACTAGTTGATGACTAGATGTATTATTGTGTAATAATTTTCAGTCTTTATCCTCCCACTTATTTGGGTGTTTACTGTAGAAAGCATCTCTCAATTTACATGAAACTTTCATGTATTTTTTGTTACCTATAGAACATAATGGGATAAATAAATAATTTATAAATCCTTTTGTATCAAAAAAATACTCCAACAATTATTCATTTTAACTGATTCTTATGAAGTTTTTTGTATGTAATAAGTTCTTTGATTATATTTTTATTAATTTGGATTTGTTTTTATTCACTATTAAAATGTTAGATTTTACTATGATAGATTATTATTTTCTGTATTTTAAAATCTTTCTTGATGAAAAGTTATCATTTATTTTAACGATTTTAATTGCTTGAAATGTAGACTAATTTCTCATTGACAACCAAAATGCATTATAAACTGTTATTAGATTTGTGCAATGAGGATTTTCTTTTGTATCCTTTTGACCATTTGAAAATCAGAATAATCAGATTATTAGCATAATGTTCAAATTTATATAAGTATTATGTAACTGAAATATAATCTCATATTGGCAAAATATTAAAATTATACACAAGTAAAGATTTTATAAATTACATTTTATTTCAATTTGAATTTTTTTTCTTCATTAATAATGTGTGGCATTTAAATTAAGAAAATATAATTTAAATTTTTACTAATTTTATAATGCATTGATTTTAATTTGGGTAGTTTTTAAGTTCATAAAAGTTTATTCCTCTATAACACATTTATTTTGATGTTTATTTTAAAAGAAATTGTAGAATTTTTATACAACGACATTAATCTTCTTTATGTATTCTTGTTTTTTAATTATGAAAAAAGAGTAGATTAAAATCTAGTGGAGATTAAGTTGCTCCCAATAGAATTTAATGTTTGTTCTTAAAAACTTCTTATGATTTAAATTGTGTTTATATTATGAATAGATGTTATTGGATTTTTTGAAAAATATATATGATCTTATAAATTAGATCAATGTGAAGGTTGAATGCACTTGCTCCGATTAAGATATCAAATGGTAATCTGAGATTTATGAAATGAAATTACACTTCCAAAAAAGATATATACAAAGCATCCATTGTTTTCTAATTAATGTTAATGAATATGCCCTATTTTATGTCTCCAATTAATAAGTTTTGAGAATTATAAATATGTTATATTTATTAAATGCAATCACTGTTTTGTTTGAAAATGAATCAATATTTTTCCGGCTGACCGAAATACTTTCAACATCTTTTATATGTTAAATAGAGCAAATGTTTTTGTTTTAATGTTTATACTTACAAAACTTTAAAAAATTATTTATTAACTAATTAATTTGCATCATTAATTATGAATTACAATATATTAAATAGATGGTTCATTACTACTTTCTCTTTTGTATAGTTCTGGCAATCAACTATTGCACAACCTGGAACCTCTGAAGAGTAAGTAGTTTATTTATTCTATATCATGTAAGGTTTGAACTTTAATTAATATTTCAGAATTTTTAATTTGTTATCTTTTATAATAATTATCTCTTTAAAAGATATATAATATTTACTATTCATGTTTTTTTACATTTCGATTCAAACAAAGACCTTGAATAGTATTCAGAATTAGTAAAAATAAAAAGTTTAACATATCATATTTACATCTTCATTAAAACTTATTGAAATATACGCCATCAAAATAGAAAAAAACTTCAAAAAGAGTAATAAAAAAATTAATAAAGACTATCATTTCAATATTGTTTGAATTTAAAACTTAAAGTTGTTATTCATGTAAATGCTTTCTTATATTTCACTGAGTTAACATATAATGATTCTAATGAAGATATGAATGTAATATGAAACAGTATTTTTCCTTTTCTTTAAATAAATTATTTTCATGTTTATTTTGAATAAATAAAAAAAAATATATATATATATATATATATATATATTTGTATGCAGCAGGGGCGTGCCATGACATTTGATGATAGGGAAGCTGTGTTTTTGTAACAAGCTGACTTCCAGGGGCAATCAGTCAGTGATGGTCTAGGGTCCATTCATATTCGTTTGTTCGATAAGCCAGTAAAAACTGTAGACTTCTCTAAATGTATTTTTAATTAATAGATTATCTAACGCACTTAATAAATAAGCAAATTCAATATAATTAACTCCGTTATATTAGATTTAATAGATTCTCTACACCCTCTAAATGCCAATTCCCGCTTCGATAACATCTACTAATTAAAATATAATGTATCTATTAGCCGTAACTATCTCGTTATAATTTTCAATATTTATTTTATATTGTGTACTAATGTTAAATTCTATTCTATTTTGATTTCCAAATTGCTTCAATTTTACGAAAGA